GTGACTATGGCAGATTTTGATGAACAAAAAATTTATTTCTACTAAGTCGACCAAGTTAAGTCAAAAAATGTCAACCATTTTGACACCTGTCAAAACCCTTCCAAATGGCAGCACTCATCTTTTCTAGTTTTCAATATTTCGTGATGTCATTTGACATTTTTAACATGTTTGAATTCTGAATTCAAAAATTGAAAAAAAAAAAATGACAGAACTGTCAAAACCTGTCATTTGTTTTAGAAGAAAGAAATACTTTAATCTGATTCTTTTTTGTTTCAAGGTAGTTTATTGGTGATAAAATATTAAACAAAGTTTGGGTATGTCACATTTTGACAACTGTCAGAGTCAAAATGTGACATGCATGAACTTTGTTTAATGTTTTATCACTAATAAACAACCTTGAAACAAAAAAGAACTAGATTAGAGTATTTTTTTCTACTAAAACAAATGACAGGTTTTGACAGTTCTGTCTTTCTTTTTTTCAATTTTTGAATTCAGAATTCACATACAAGTTAACAATGTCAGACGACATCATAAAATATTGAAAACTGGAAAAGATGAGTGATGCCGTTTGGCAGGGTTTTGACAGGTGTCAAAATGGTTGACATTTTTCGACTTAACTTGGTCAAATAAGAAGAAATAGATTTTTTGTTCATCAAAATCTGCCATAGTTATTCTGCTTTTGGATATAAGATTCCAATATTTGACAGCTAACCACGCCTCACCTGTCATATATACAGGGTTGTGCCCATGGTAAAAAATGTTGCTTACGGCATCCCCAACAACATATTTAAATTTCATCCAAATATCACGGGTAACCAATTTCCATTTAAATATTGCGGGGTCGTTTCTATTTTTGTAAATTTTCATGATTTTTGGAAATATTCATGATTTTTGGGAATTTTCATAATTTTTGTGATTTTCATGAATTTTTATGATTATTGTAAATTTTCATGATTTTCATAAATTTCTATGATTTTTAATTCTCATAAATTTCTCTGGTTTTTTGTGAATTTTCATGATTTTTGTAAATTTTTATGATTTTTGTAAATTTTTATGATTTTTTGTGCATTTTGTGATTTTTTGAAATTTTCATAGTTTTTGTGAATTTTCATGATTCTTCGAAATTATCATGATTTATGATTTTCGTGATTTTTGTAATTTTCCTGATTCACCTTAATTTTTATGACTTTTTCGAATTTTCTTAAATTTTCAGGATTTTTGATTTTCATAAATTTCTATGATTTTCTTATGAATTTCGTGATTTTTGGAAATTTTCATGATGTTTGTAAATTTTAATGATTTTCGTGATTTTTGTAAATATCTATGATTTCTTTTTTTTTTAAATTCATGAGATTACATACCTACAATCCTAAAATTCACAAAATTACAATTTTGAATTTTTTTTAGAATTCACAAGATTACAATTTCGAAACTCATTAAATTACAATTTTGAAATATTTTTAGAATTAACATGTTACAATCTCAAAATTCACAAAATTTTAATTTTGAATTTTCTTGGAATTGACAAAATTACAATTTTCAAATTTTCTTTCAATTCACAAAATTACAATTTTTAAATTTTCTTGAAATTCACAAGATTACAATTTTGAATTACACAAAACTACAATTTTGAATTTTTTTTGGAATTCACAAGATTACAATTTCGAAATTCATTAAATTTCAATTTTGAAATATTTTTAGAATTAACATGTTTACAATCTCAAAATTCACAAAATTATAATTTTGAATTTTCTTGGAATTGACAAAATTACAATTTTAAAATTTTCTTTCAATTCACAAAATTTCAATTTTCAAATTTTCTTGGAATTAACAGTATAACAATTTTAAAATTAAAATTCACAAAATTACAATTTTAAATTTTTCTCGAAATTCATAAAATTACAATTTTGATCTATTCAAGAATTCGTAAGATTATAATTTTCTTGAAAGTCATTATGAATTTTTATGATTTTTCATTTTCATAAATTTATATGTTTTTTTTGTCAATTTTTATGATTTTTGTAAACTCATGATTTTTATAAATTTTCATAACTTGAGATTTTCGTAAATTTTTATGATTTATGAAAATTTTTATGAATTTTTTAATTTTTTATGAAAAATTTTATTATTTTTGGAAAATTCTATCATTTCCGGAAAATTTTGATTTTTGTAAATTTTAATAATTTTTAAAATTTTCGTAAAATTTCATAATTTTTGCGTTATTTGAAAATTTTTATGAATTTTGTGATTTTCAAAATTTTTATGATTTTTGTGATACATAATTTAAATTTTTTATAATTTTTGTGACTTGAAAATTTTTAAGATTTTCTTTTTCATGAATTTTGTGATTTTTGGGAAATTTTAACATTTTTGGCAATTTTTGTTTCTTGTGAATTTTTGTGATCTTCGTAAATTTTTATGATTTTTGTGATTTTTGGAAATTTTTAAGATTTTTGTAGTTTTTGGAAATTTTTGTGATTTTTGGAAATTTCTATGATTTTTGATAATGATTATGATCGATCTTTTCGAGCGACGCCAATGGACGTCTAAATTTGTAAAATTTCGAAAAAATCGATCTTTTTGAGTGACGCCTATAAACGTCCAAGTTTCTAAAATTTCGAGAAAATCAATCCTTTCGAGTGACGCCTATGAACGACTAAATTTTTAAAATTTTGAGAAAATTACTCGTTTCGAGCGACGCCTATAATATTGTCCAAATTTTTTAAATTTCGATCTTTCCGAGCGACGCCTGTAAACGTCCAAATTTCTAAAATGTCGAATAAATCAAATTTTTATTCTTTTTTTTATTTTGAGAATTTTTTTTTTTTTTTTTTGTAAAATTTTGTTTTTCGAGAAAATTTTTTTAAATTTTTTTCTGAAAAAGATTCATGATTTTTGGAAATTTTCATGATTTTTGGGAATTACCATAGTTTTTGTGATTTTCATGAATTTATGTAGATTTTCAGGATTTTTATAAATTTCTATGATTTTTCATTTTCATAAATTTCTATGGTTTTTTGTGAATTTTTATGTTTTTTGTAAATTTTTATGATTTTTGTAAATTTCTATGATTTTTTGTGCATTTTGTGATTTTTGGAAATCATTATAATTTTTGTGAATTTTCATGATTTTTGAAAATTATCATGGTTTTTATTATTTTTGTAAATTTTTATGATTTTTGTAATTTTCCTGATTCACCTTAATTTCTATGATTTTTTAGAATTTTTGTAATCTTGAAATTTTCTTAAATTTTCATAATTTTTGATTTCTATGATTTCTTGTGAATTTCGTGATTTTTGAAAATTTTCATGATGTTTGTAATTTTTAATGATTTTCGTGATTTTTGTAAATTTTCATGATTTTTGTGAATTTCCATGATGTGACAAGATTATAATTTTAAAATTCAAAAAATTTCAATTTTGCAATTTTCTCGGGATTCACAAGATTAAAATTCACAAAATTACATTTTTTTTACAATTCACAAAATTACAATTTTTGAATTTTCTTGCAATTCACTCACAAGATTGAAATTCATAAAATTCCAATTTTGAATTTTTTTGGAATTCACAAAATTACAATTTTGATTTTTTTTTAGAATTCGCGAGATTATAATCTCAAAATTAATAAAATTGCAATTTTCATTTTTTTTTAAATTCACAAAAAAACAATCTCAAAATTCACAAAATTACAATTTTGATTTATCTTAGAAGTCATAAGATTAAAATCTTAAAATTCACAAAATTACAATTTTTGAATTTTCTTACAATTCATAAAATTGAAATTTGAAATTTTTTTGGAATTCACAAGATTACATACAATCTTAAAATTCACAAAACTACAATTTTTAATTTTTTTCGAAATTCACAAAATAACAATTTTAAAATACTTAAAATTACAATTTTTTTGTATATGAATTACAATTTTTTAATTTTCTTAGAATTGACAAGGTAACAATTTTAAAATTTACAAAATTACTATTGAGAATTTTTTTTGGAATTCACAAGATTACAATCTCGAAATTCATAAAATTACAATTTTGAAATATTTTTAGAATTCACAAGGTTACAATTTCAAAAGTCACAAAATTACAATTATGTAATTCGCAAAATTATAATTTTAAATTTTCTTGGAATTGACAAAATTACAATCTTAATATTCACAAAATTACAATTTTCAAATTTTCTTACAATTCACAAAATTACAATTTTCAAATTTTCTTACAATTCACAAAATTTCAATTTTGAAATTTCTTGGAATTCAGAAAAAAATTATTTTGATCTATATACACACAAGATTACAAATTACAATTTTAAAATGCATAAAATTACAATTTTGAAATTTTCTTACAATTCACAAAATTACAATTTTTAAATTTTCATACTTACAATTCACAAATTTACAGTTTTGGAATTTCCTCACAAGACTACAATTTTAAAATTCATTAGTTACAATTTTGAAATTTTCTTGAATTTCACAAGATTACAATCTGAATTCTGAAAGTTTTAATTTTTATTTTCGATGAATCGATATTTTTATTTTCAACCTTTTTACTTTTTATTAGGATTTTTTTTTGTTTGTTTCTTCCATTTTTGAATTTTTCATTTTTTTTTTTTCTGAACTTTTTAATTTTCTTTTTTTTTTTCGATTTTTTGATTTTTTCTTATCGATTTCTCGTTTCTCGTCACATCAAAATCGTTATTTTTATCGATTTCACATAAAATTCGATATTCAACACTAAACTAAGTAAGTACTAAACAGTAATAAAAAAATATATAAAACAAAAGAACAAATAAAAACTAGAAAAAAAAAATAAAAATAAAAATAATAAAAATAAAAATGAAAAATAGAAATTTATGTAAAAAAATTAAGAAATAAAAAATAAAAATTCAAAAATGAGAAAAAATAGCAAAAAATTTAAAATGAAAAATTGAAAAAAAAATCAAAAATTAAAATTAAAACAAAATTTGATTTTTTTTTTAAATTTATTTTATTTTTTTCAGGTGTCCAGAATGTTCGAAGTGATTCTGTTCACGGCGTCCAAGCGCGTCTACGCCGACAAGTTGCTGAACCTGCTCGATCCGGAACGGAAGTGGATCAAGTACCGGCTGTTCCGCGAGCACTGCGTCTGCGTCAACGGCAACTACATCAAGGACCTGAGCATTTTGGGCCGGGACTTGTCCAGGACGATTATCGTCGACAATTCGCCGCAGGCGTTCGGCTATCACGTGAGTACTTTTTAATTGTACTAAATCTACTATAATCGACAAAGCCATTCTCTTAGAGTGATAGTACAACTTTTACAAATTGTACTAAATTTAGTACAATTTTACTTTTGCCATTTTTAGTACAATTTTAATTTTAAAATATCATTCCTGTAATTAAATACACTCTCCAACGAGTTTCAGAAATTGTACTAGTTTTAGTACAATTCATATTTACTTCAAAAATTGTAAAACACGCTCCTACAATGATTTAAAACTTTTTTTTAGAAATTGTACTATAGCGCAATTTGGCTCGTATTTATTTGTGTTTGGATACTGTTTCTACTGTGTAAATCTAGTATAACTTTTCTTTTATAATTTTAAGTAAAATTTTAATTTTAAAATATCATTCCAGTGATTAGATATACTTTCCTGCAAATTTTAGAAATTGTACTTAATTCAGTACAATTTTACTTTTGGCATTTTAGGTACAATTTTAATTTTAAAGTATCATTCCCGTTATTAGATGCACTCTCCTACAAATTTCAGTAATTGTACTAATTTTAGTAGTACAATTTAAATTATTTGCAAAAAATCATAAATTTTAGAGACTGTACTGAATCTAGTACAATTTTTTTTGCAATTTCTAGTACAATTTCAATTAAAATATTATTCCCGTGATTATATACACTCTTCCACGAGTTTTAGAAATTGTACTAGTTTTAGTACAATTCAAATTTACTTTAAAAAATTCATACACATCGTAAAACACACTCCTACAATGATTAAAAACTTTTCAAGATATTGTACTAGGTCTAGTACAATTTCTCTTTTGAAATTTTCGGTTCATTTTTAATTTTAAAATATCATTTTCGTGATTAGATACACTCTTCCACGAGTTTTAGAAATTGTATCAGCTTTAGTACAATAGTACATTTTTTTCTTTTTCATTTTTAGTACAATTTTAATTTTAAAATATCATTTATCTGGTGAGATAAATTCTCCATCGAATTTTAGATATTGTACTAGTTTTAGTACAATTCGAATTCACTTAGAAAAAATCATACACATTGTAAAACACACTCCAATGATTAAAATTTTTTCAAAATATACCATATTTAGTACATTTTTTTCTTTTTCATTTTTAGTAAAATTTTAATTTTAAAATATCATCTAGCTGGTTAGATACATTCTCCAACAAATTTTAGGAATTGTACTTATTTTAGTACAATTCATATTCACTTCCAAAAAATCATACGCATTATAAAACGGAGTGTGTTTTACAATGTGTATGATTAAAAACTTTTCAGAATATATATTGTACTATATTTAGTACATATTTTCTTCTGGCATTTTTAGTACAATTTTAATTTTAAAATATCATTTCAGTGATTAAATACACTCTCCTACGAATTTTGGAAATTGTACTAGTACAATTTCCAAAATTCTAGATTTAGTTCAATTCAATTTTACTTCAAAAAAATCATCCACATTGTAAAACACACTCCCACAATGATTGAAAACTTTTCAAAATAAATATTGTACTATATTTAGTACATTTTTAACCAGATAAATGATATTTTAAAATAAAAATTGTACTAAAACTGCCAAAAGAAAAAATTTACTAAATATAGTACAATATGTATTTTAAAAAGTTTATAATCATTGTAGGAGTGTGTTTTACAATGTGGATGATTTTTTTGAAATAAAATTTAATTGTACTAAATCTAGTACAATTTCTAAAATTCGTAAGAGAGTTTATTTAATCACTGGAATAATATTTTAAAATTAAAATTGTACCAAAAATGCTAAAAGTAAAATTGTAAAAAACAATTATTTAAATTTAAAGTACCTATGTATTTATAAAACAGTTTAAAATTAATTTTAAAATTTTTAAAACTTGTTTCAAGTACTTTACTTTTCAACAACTTCAAAAATATTTTCAAGTAGTTTCCAGTACTTTAAAATTTCAAAATTCGACTTCGAAGCTTCAAGTACCTTTTAATATTTAAAAGTTTTAAAACAAATTTAAAGTACCTATTTATAAAACAGTTTAAAATTAATTTTAATTTTTTTAAAACTTGTTTCAAGTACTTTACTTTTCAACAACTTCAAAAATATTTTCAAGTAGTTTCCAGTACTTTAAAATTTCAAAATTCGACTTCATAGCTTCAAGTACCTTTTAATATTTAAAAGTTTTAAAACAAATTTGAAGTACCTATTTATAAAACAGTTTAAAATTAATTTTAATTTTTTTAAAACTTGTTTCAAGTACTTTACTTTTCAACAACTTCAAAAATATTTTCAAGTAGTTTCCAGTACTTTAAAATTTCAAAATTCGACTTCATAGCTTCAAGTACCTTTTAATATTTAAAAGTTTTAAAACAAATTTAAAGTACCTATTTATAAAACAGTTTAAAATTAATTTTAAATTTTTAGAAACTTGTTTCAAGTACTTTACTTTTCAACAACTTCAAAAATATTTTCAAGTAGTTTCCAGTACTTTAAAATTTCAAAATTCGACTTCATAGCTTCAAGTACCTTTTAATATTTAAAAGTTTTAAAACAAATTTAAAGTACCTGTTTATAAAACAGTTTAAAATTAATTTTAATTTTTTTAAAACTTGTTTCAAGTACTTTACTTTTCAACAACTTCAAAAATATTTTCAAGTAGTTTCCAGTACTTTAAAATTTCAAAATTCGACTTCATAGCTTCAAGTACCTTTTAATATTTAAAAGTTTTAAAACAAATTTAAAGTACCTATTTATAAAACAGTTTAAAATTAATTTAAATTTTTTTAAAACTTGTTTCAAGTACTTTACTTTTCAACAACTTCAAAAATATTTTTAAGTAGTTTCCAGTACTTTAAAATTTCAAAATTCGACTTCATAGCTTCAAGTACCTGTTAATATTTAAAAGTTTTAAAACAAATTTGAAGTACCTTTTTATAAAACAGTTTAAAATTAATTTTAAATTTTTAGAAACTTGTTTGAAGTACTTTACTTTTCAACAACTTCAAAAATATTTTCAAGTAGTTTCCAGTACTTTAAAATTTCAAAATTCGACTTCATAGCTTCAAGTACCTTTTAATATTTAAAAGTTTTAAAACAAATTTAAAGTACCTATTTATAAAACAGTTTAAAATTAATTTTAAAATTTCAAAATTTGACTTCATAGCTTCAAGTACCTTTTAATATTTAAAAGTTTTAAAACAAATTTAAAGTACCTATTTATAAAACAGTTTAAAATTAATTTTAATTTTTTTAAAACTTGTTTCAAGTACTTTACTTTTCAACAACTTCAAAAATATTTTCAAGTAGTTTCCAGTACTTTGAAATTTCAAAATTCGACTTCATAGCTTCAAGTACCTTTTAATATTTAAAAGTTTTAAAACAAATTTAAAGTACCTATTTATAAAACAGTTTAAAATCAATTTTAAATTTTTAGAAACTTGTTTGAAGTACTTTACTTTTCAACAACTTCAAAAATATTTTCAAGTAGTTTCCAGTACTTTAAAATTTCAAAATTCGACTTCATAGCTTCAAGTACCTTTTAATATTTAAAAGTTTTAAAACAAATTTGAAATACCTATTTATAAAACAGTTTAAAATTAATTTTAATTTTTTTAAAACTTGCTTCAAGTACTTTACTTTTCAACAACTTCAAAAATATTTTCAAGTAGTTTCCAGTACTTTAAAATTTCAAAATTCGACTTCGAAGCTTCAAGTACCTTTTAATATTTAAAAGTTTTAAAACAAATTTAAAGTACCTATTTATAAAACAGTTTAAAATTAATTTTAAATTTTTAGAAACTTGTTTCAAGTACTTTACTTTTCAACAACTTCAAAAATATTTTCAAGTAGTTTCCAGTACTTTAAAATTTCAAAATTCGACTTCATAGCTTCAAGTACCTTTTAATATTTAAAAGTTTTAAAACAAATTTAAAGTACCTATTTATAAAACAGTTTAAAATTAATTTTAATTTTTTTAAAACTTGTTTCAAGTACTTTACTTTTCAACAACTTCAAAAATATTTTCAAGTAGTTTCCAGTACTTTAAAATTTCAAAATTCGACTTCATAGCTTCAAGTACCTTTTAATATTTAAAAGTTTTAAAACAAATTTAAAGTACCTATTTATAAAACAGTTTCAAATTAATTTTAATTTTTTTAAAACTTGTTTCAAGTACTTTACTTTTCAACAACTTCAAAAATATTTTCAAGTAGTTTCCAGTACTTTAAAATTTCAAAATTCGACTTCATAGCTTCAAGTACCTTTTAATATTTAAAATTTTTAAAACAAATTTAAAGTACCTATTTACAAAACAGTTTTAAATTAATTTTAAATTTTTTAAAACTTGTTTCAAGTACTTTACTTTTCAACAACTTCAAAGTTATTTCCAAGTAGTTTCCAGTACTTTAAAATTTCAAAGTTTGATTTAATACTTTCAAGTTCTTTTTAATATTTGAAAGTTTTTAAAAAAATTTCAAGTACCAATTTTTTGAAACAGTTTAAATTAGTTTTGAAATTTTTAAAACTTGTCTCAAGTATTTTTCAACAACTTCAAAGTTATTTTCAAGTAGTTTCCAGTACTTTGAAATTTCAAAATTCGACTTAATACATTCAAGTGTCTTTTAATATTTGAAGGTTTTGAAAAAAGTTTCAAGTATCTATTTTTTTTTTGTATATATTTGAAGTTTTCGAAACTTGTTTCAAGTACTTTAAAAATTTCAAAATTCTATTTAATAGTTTCAAGTACTTTTTAATATTTAAAACTTTTTAAATAAATTTCAAGTACCTTTTTTTTTGAAACAGTTTAAAATTAGTTTTGAAATTTTCAAAACTTGCTTCTTTCAACAACTTCAAAGTTATTTTCAAGTAATTTCTAGTACTTCAGAAAATTTCAAAATTCGACTTAAAACTTTCAAGTACCTTTTAATATTTAAAAGTTTTGAAAAAAATTTCAAGTACTTTTCAACAACAAAGTTATTTTCAAGTATTTTCCAGTACTTTAAAATTTCAAA